GTAATAATGCACATCCTTAAGGTTAAAGGCTTTCAGTTTTTGGCCAGTTAGTATGATGCTGACTGTTGGTTTGTCATAGATGGCTTTTATTATATTAGGGTAATATATCCCAATTTTCTGTAAAATTCTTATCATGAATAAGTATTGGACCTTATCTGAAGCTTTTTCTGCATCCTTAGAAATAATCATGTGATTCTTATTTTTGGCTGTGTTGATACAGTAGATTACATTTATTGATTTATGTATGTTGAACCATCCTTGCATGCCTGGGATGAATCCCACTTGGTCATGGTGTATAATCTTCTTAATGATTTGCTGCATTCTGTTTGCCAATATTTTATTGAGAATTTTTGCATATGTGTTCATTAGGGAGATTGGCCTGTAGTTCTCTTTTTTTGGTTGGGTCTTTCTTTGGTTTTGGTATTAGAGTAATACTTGCTTCCAGGAATGAGTTAAGAATTGCTTCCCTTTCAGTTTCATTGAAAAGTTTGAGGAGTGTCAGCATCAAGTCTTCTTTGAATATCTTGTAGAATTACACAGTAAATCCATCTGGACCTGGGCTTTTCTTTGTGGTGAGGATTTAATTACATTTTCAATTTCATTAATTGAAATTGGGTTATTCAGGAATTTTACGTCGTCTTGATCCAGCTTTGGTAATTCATATGTTTCTAGGAATCTGTCCATTTCTTCTGTTTTCAAACCTGTAAGAGTAGATGTTTTAAAACAAGTGTTGATGATCTTCTGTATTCCCACAGGGTCTGTGGTGATTTCACCTTTTTCATTCCTTATTGCATGAATTTGAGTTTTTCCTTTTTTAATAAGGTTGGCTAGAGCCTGTCAATTTTACTTATTCTTTCAAAGAACCAACTCTTTGATTCATTGATTCTTTGTGTTGTTTCTTAATCTCTATTGCATTGATTTCTGCTCTGATCTTTATAATTTTCTCCCTTCTTTTGGCTTTCGGCTTGACTTGCTTTTATTTTTCTAAATGTTTGAGGTGTAGCATCAGGTTGCTTATTTGTGTTGGTTCTGTTTTCCTGATGTGAGAATTCACGGCAATAAATTTTCCTCTGAGAACTGCTCTCATTGCACCCCACAGATTCTGATAAGTTGTATTTATATTTTCATTTGCTTGTAGATACTGTTTAATTTCTTCGTTAATTTCCTCTGTGCCCCACTGATTGCTCAGGAGTGTATTACTCAATTTCCATGTGTTTATGGGGTTTTTGCAGTTCTTTTGTCATTAATTTCTAGTTTCATGGCGCTATGATCCAGTAACATGCATGCAATAATTTCAGTTCTTTTGCATTTACTTAAGCATGTTCTGTAGGCTAGTATGTGGTCTGTTTTGAGAATGTCACATGTGATGCTGAGAAGAATGTATATTCTGATGTTGTTGGATGGAACATTCAGTATATGTCCACCACGTCCATTTGTTCATAGTTTTGATTCAGTTTTGTGATTTTTTTTTTGTTGTTGTTGATTTTCTGTCTAGTTGATCTGTCTCTTTGTGCCAATGGCGTGTTACGGTCTCCTCTTATAATTGTGTTATTGCATATTTGATTTTTCGTTTCTGTTAATATTTGTTTTATATAGTTGGAGGCTCCTGAATTTGGTGCATATATATTGAAGATTGTTATCTCTTCTTGAACTTTTCTGCTAAACAACCGTCTTTATCTCTTTTGATCATTCTTGGTTTGAAGTTCACATTATCTGCAAACAGAATAGCTACCTCTCCTTTTGGGGGGTTCCTGTTGCATGAAGTATTGTTTTCTGTCCTTTGACTTTCAGTCTGTGAGTTTCCTCTTGGGTTAGATGGGTTTCTTGTATACAATGTATGGTTAGATGTTGTTTCTTGTTCCATTCTGCCAATCTGTTTCTGTTAATTGCTAAATTGAGGCCATTTACATTAATGGTTATAACTGATATATGTTGGTTTATTTTTGACATAATCTTTCTGCTATTGATTCTTTACCTTTCCACTCTGCTTAATTCTTTGCCTTGTTTAGTGCTTTTTACCTATGTCTATTTAGAATGTCTTTCAGTGTTCTTCACAGGGTTGGTTGTGGTTATGAAGTTCTTCAGCTGTTTTTTGTTGTATACATTATTTCTCCATCCATTTTGAAGGGCAGTTTTTCAGGGTACATCAGTCTTGGTTGGAAGTCATTTTCCTTTAGTATCTGAAATACTTCACTCCATGCTCTTCTTGACTTCATTATTTGTGTTGAGAAGTCTACTGTGATTCTGATAGGCTTTATAGGTGATCTGTCTCTTTGCTCTAGCAGCTTTTAATATTCGTTTCTTATGCTGGATTTCTGGGATGGTGATTATTATATGTCTGGGTGTAGTTTTATTCTGTGTATGGCTATTTGTAGTTCTATATGCTTCACTTGTCTGTGTTCTAGTTTCCATTCTCATGTTTGGGAAATTTTCAGCTGTTACTTCTATAAATAACCTCACGGTATCATTTGTGTTGTCCCCTTCTTTTTGGTTTATACCTATCCATCTTCTGTTTTTCTTCCTTTGCATCATCTTCAGCTGTTGATTTGTTATTTCCTGATTCCTTGATATTTTTAAAAGATCTTCCCTCTTCATTAGCTGCAATCTTGTCTTCAAGATCTGAAAGTCTATCTTCACTTTCATTGAGGCAGTTTTGCCAACTTTCAGTGGAATTTTTGATTTCCTTTGTATCTCTTTGAATTTGTTTCATGCATTCTGTTTGTTTCTTATATTGCTCATTCAGGGTTTCCATCTTTTTGCATTATTCTTCTAATTTTTTAACCATGTCTTTTTTAGATGTGTTCAGCTTTTCTTTCATTACATTTATCTTCTTTTGCCTGGGAGGTTGTCACCTGAGTTCTTTTATAGCTTCCCGGAGTTTTTCCTTTACCTGGTTGCTATCATTTCAGGAGTTTCAGTTGTATGGCTTACATTTTCTTCTGCATCCATGTCTCTTAGGCTTGCTTGGCATGGGCTGGAGGTTTGGGATTGCATTTTGCTCTTTTGTTTTGTCATTTTCCTATATTTCTGGGATTGGAGCAAGGCCCCAAAGCTTCCCTGTTGGCTGGAAATCACCTCGTGCACTTTAGGCTTCAAGGCCGAATGCAAGCAGCTGCAGACTGCTGGGGTGTTGCTGGGCATCTCTCGATTGATTCTATCAAGCAAATTTTCTTGAACTTTCCCAAATTTGCCAGCATTAAAGTGGGGTATATAATCCAAGAAGTAATTGAATTGACTTTCTTGTATATATTAACTTTGTTATGTGTGAGTTAGTACCATAGTTCTCCCTTATCTACAGTTTCTACTGTAGAAAAGAGAGGATTATTATACTGACTTACACGATTTTTTTTTTTTACTCTTGATCAGCTGAGGTGTGAAAGTATTTAATGGAAAATTTCAGAAATCAACAATTTACCAGACATGGTGGTCACACCTGTAATTCCAGCACTGGGGAGGCTGAAGCAGGAGGACCACCATGAGTTCAAGGCCAGCCTGGACTGCATAGCAACCCTGCCTTCTCCTCCCCAAAAAACAAAACAAAAAATAGAACAGTTTATATGTTTTATTTTGTGTGCCCTTCTACCTGGTATCATAAAACCTTACACTTCCCCTTCTGGGATGCGGATCATCCCTTTGTTCAGTATGTCCATGCTCTATGTATTTTCTACTCCTTCTCGGATCACTATCAAAAGTAGTAGCAATCACATATGCCAAAGGGATGCAAAAAGTGCTTATTTTCAGAGTTATCACCATAGAAAGAAGAAGGGATAATAGTATAGTATAAGGTGTGGTTTAGTTTGATTTTTGTGAAACTGGAAATTAAACTTCGCTGGTGTCTTTACACTGAGCTACATTCTCATCCCATTTTCTGATGTTGAGACAATGTCTCACACATTGCCCAGGTTGGTTTGAACTTGTGCTGCTCCTTCCTCAGCTTCTCGATGCTTGGTTTTCAGATGTATGCCACGCTACCGTGCCTAGCTGTAATAAGATATTTTGAGAGAGACCGTAGTCACTTGTTTCATTGCAGTCTGTTGTTTGCAATTATTAATATTAACAGTGTCTACTTCACAAGTTAAATACTAGAATAGCTAAGTATGTATGAGAAGAAATTGGTACATGCATACTTTAATACTGTTCCAGGGTTTAGGCGTCCTGGAACATATATCCCCTGTAGGTAAGGGGAGACTAACTATATAATTCTGCTAGTATATTAGAGAGAAAGAAACCTTCATACTATTTTATCTGTTAACCGTTACTAAATGTCTTAAATTATATCTTTTTGTTTTTCCAAATCCATTTTATTTCAAGAAGAAAAAGAAAAAAACTAAATTTTAAAACACGTTAATCAGGGGCAACAGTGGTCCATACATTGTGTGGTGTCATCCCCAGATCATTTACCCAGAGCACAAGACATCTGTGTTCAGTTGTCTGAACAATGCCAGCCCAAGTCTTTCTCTTCAGTGAAGTCAGAGAAATCAGTAGTATAACTATCTTAACTATTTTTTGCATACATATATACTTACACATATGTTGTTTCTTTCAGCTTCTCACACTAATGTTAAATTACATTTAACAGCAGTGTACCACCTGCCTGGTGCTAGGGAAGGTTGTATTGGGCATGATGCAAAATAATTTGGTATGGCACCCAGACAATGTAAAGTGAAGAATTGTGGCTATCATTTACTGAGATAGAATGATGATTTTCTTTCTCTATTGAAAAGTACCTTGTATAATTTTGTTTTAGCTGTTTAGCTCATGCAGTTTAATAGCTGATTACAAATTGTTTCAAATTAAGGTTCGAGACATAAGTGTGATTCAGTTTGACAAGTTCCAGTCCACAGTCAAGCAGCCTGAGCACGTAGGTCTGCTGGAAGGGTGTGCACGAGGGTTGGTGCACCAGGCTTGCCACTGTGCAGAAACACTGGCGGTGGCACAGTGTGCACAGAGGTCATCATGCATGTCAGCAGCACAACCTTTGTTCTGTTTTCTTTTTACAGGCTTTTTAGATCCTGAAAAGAAGCTTTTTTCTCATCGAATATTATCAAGAGATGAGTGTATTGACCCATTTTCTAAAACAGGAAACCTTAGGTATGTTCATGACCAAGTTCATCACTAAGTTCACTGTTTACTTCCCACTCCAAAAATTGCATTTTGAGAATTAGGATGCTAATTTGTCTGTATAATGTTTTCTGAGAATTTAACCTGGTTCTCTAGTTTTCAGTGTTGTTCTCAGCATGTTTAGAAAGTTCGTCTTCTTGCCTAGTGTATACGAGGCCCTGGACTCAATCCCCAGCACCACCTAAATTAATTAATAAATAAATCAGAAAGTTTTTTTTTTTCTTAAACCCCACACTGTCTCGTATGGTTTATGCTTCTGGTGCTCATGCCTCAAGCCATTTGTACTCCATGCCCTACTCAGCAGGGTCATCCTGGCCAGAGCTGTCACAGAGCTACTCTCTTCTCCTTAGGCTCTTGTTTCTTCTGCCAGGGATAGTATAGTCATCCTGCCTCAGCTCTGAGTAGAAAGCACACCTTCTGTATTAGTGCTTGCCTTTGCATCAGTTGGACCTTCCATACCTTTGACTTCACCTGTCGGGTCTGTGCAGTGAGGCCTCAGATCTCAGAGGCAGAGGCAAAAGCTCAAATGAATTTCCTGCAGTGCTCCAGGTGTGAGGTTATGGCCCTCTTTATGCCTGTGGAATACCTGCGGCTCCTGGGGAGCTTGGGGACCTCATTCCTGAAGCTGAAACCCAGGCTAGAGTGGCTTAAAGAGAGGACTTGACATCTGTGGAGCAGCACTGCGGCCATGTTGGCTGAGCCAGAGCTTCGTTCTTGCTGTACGTAAGCCCAGCTGTTTCTGAGCTTAGAGTTTCAGCGGGAAGACACCAATACTGGCATAATCTCTGAGAAGCTCATCTACTGTTCATCCTACTAACAGTTTGTAAAAATCCTAAGTTTTTGGATTTTTGGCCATATTTGTCTGTTTCTGCTTTTTTTTGTCTTTTCTACTTTTTAACTTAAATTTTTATGACAAAACTGGCTCCCCCCTCCTCCTTGACGGGCTGTTCTATATCTTCAAAACTTTCTTGGTCACTCTATATAAAGAATTTCCCACTTTCCACCAAGAAAGGGCGGTGTATCAAGTACAGCTTGTTTCCATGGTACTTATTCATGACTTGAGCACCAGCAGCTTTGTATTGGTAGTCCAGCTCACACAGGTGCCCTCCCCTAAAATTTTGTGTTCCTGAATTGAGGATCCACAGAGTTTTGAGACCTGTGCAAGTTAGTATTAACTAAGAAGAGAATCTGAGGTATTTATTTCAAAAATAGACCTCTTCTTTGCTAGTTAGCATCAGAGCAAGCAGATGGATGATTCCAAAGAAAAGAAGAGATGATGGTGGTGATTTGTCAGAGGGGAAAACCACCTGAGGATAAGAATGTTAAACTCGAAAGAAAATCATCTCAAAACAAGCACAGGCAATGAATGCTGCAGCTTGCACAGATACACCTTCCACTCAGGGAGTGCCAAATATGTAATTGTATCTGTTTTCCCAGCCTTTGTGCTGTCAGGCTGTGTTTGTAAATAAAATATCTTAGAAACGACTAATCAGGTGTGATGGCACATGCCTGTACTCCCAGCACTTGGGAGGCTGAGGCAGGAGAATATCTGAATTCAGTGCCAACCTGATCTGTGTACAGAAACCATGTCTCAAAAAGATGAAAGAAAAAAAACAAAGAAAGAGAGAAAGAGGAGGGGAGGGAAGAGGAGAGAAGAGAAGAAAGAAAGAAAAAAAAAGAAATGAAATATGACCAGACTCTTTTTTTTTTTTTTACAAGACTTCACAGGGTTGAATTACGATTCTGTGGCTGACAAAGCCTAAAATATTTATTATCTGACTCTTTAGGAAAAAAGTTTTCTGGTCTTTTTTAAAAGAAGAATCAGAAACAACAGAGAAAAAAATATAATAATTTTAATGTTTCTGTCTGATAAAGAGGATTTAAATATGAGCTAAGTAAAAGCCTTCCTTACAGTTCACATCTTTCTGTCGAATCTGCTCTCTGCTCATTGCTTGTGGATGAAACTAGGTCCTAAACTGCTTTTGCTTAGACAAAACGAAAGACTGTTACAATCCGTGATTAATACTCTGTGTAAATTGCACATTTTTGCCTTTAGAAATCTCTTTCCTTGTGGAGACTCAATGGTTTGCATTATTGATGACCGAGAGGATGTCTGGAAGTTTGCCCCCAACCTTATAACTGTGAAGAAGTACGTGTACTTCCCAGGCACGGGTGATGTGAATGCACCTTCCGGGTCCCGGGAGTCTCAGCTGAGAAAGAAAGGTGGGTGACTTTCTACTCAATTAAGGGCTCTTTTGGGTTTTTTTTTTTTTTTTTTTTTTTTTTTTTTTTTTTTTACTTTTTAACAAAGGGTTTCTCTGTGTAGTTTGGGGCTTTGAACTTACTTTGTAGGCTGGCTTCACACTCAGCAATCCTTCTGCCTCAGTCTCCCAAATGCTGGGATCACAATCGTGTGCCACCATCCCCAGCCTCTTTCTAATAATTTAAAAAGAAATAATTAGTGCTTCAATTCAGTGTTTAGCTTTTACTTCTTTATATCTATTTCAGGTGCCATAAATTCAAGATTTACCGTGTTTTTTATTTGTACTTAAACCTTAACAGAAGATGGACTTACTTAGTACTGAAAGGCTAAATGCACACGAGTTCTGCATTTCCTTCCAGTTTTCTTTAAACAGCCGTGACCCTAGGAAGGACCACCGCTTTCCTTAGTGTGAACATGGTGTGAAATGTGCTCCTTTTTTTAGGAACTGTCCTCAGAATCAGGCTCTTAGACTGTGCCTGCCTATAGCCAGCAGGCAACCTTGCATCTGTCCAGAAAACTAAGGAATTGAAAAGTTTTGTTTTTTAAGGATCTCAAATTTAAAAACAAAGTATTTTGACACAGTTACTGCTACAGTCACTAAAACAGAACTTAGATATCAAGGCAAGGAAAAAATAGAGCCCAGAGGCCTTCTTGCAGAATGTATGAGGTGGACACATCCCCTGGACAGACCAGTCAAGTCAGCCTGCATGGGTTGAAAAGCAAAGGGTGCTTCCAATGTTAAGTGCCCCAAATTTAGAGGCCAGATAACGTAAACCTTTCAACAGCGTGCTGTAGTTTTGAAAGTTGTTTAACATTAGGTAACATTAACTTTTTCTTTTTCATACATATTTAGTAAACCATTCTTCTAAAAGTGCCGATGTCTTGGAACAAGTTCCATCTACAAAAGACCCTGAGGAAGGCAGACACATTCCTGGGGTAGAGCAGAACAATGGCCTTGGGAAGCCCACCCGGGAGCTGAATGGTGGCGAAGCTGTGCTGGGGGCTCCTGGTAAGGCAGACGAGAGGAACTCCTGGCCCGCTGCCCGGGCCCCCTCGTCCATCAGCCCTGGCAGCTGTGAACTGGCAGACGCTCCTGAACCCCAGGCATCTTGTGAACAGGGTGGTGAGACCTCACCAGGGGCACAGCCCCCTCAGGGAACCTCTGGTGCAGATTTGGATTTTGACTTGTCCAGCGACAGTGAGAGCAGTGAGTCAGAAGGTCAGAAGTCCTCCTCTCCCTCCGATGGAGAAAATGAGGAAAAGAGAGGCCAGAGAAAGACTCCAGCCACTCACGACAGAGCAAGAACACCACAGCAGGGAGGTGCTGCTGACGGGGGTGGGGGAAAACTGGCAGCAGCTGGGTCCCCGGGGGAGTCTGGAGTTGGAGTCTCTGCACAGGACAAAGGGCCAGAGCTGGACATCCAGGAGGAGAGTGAGCGGGATGGCCTCTGTGGCCTGGGCAACGGCTGTGTGGACAAGAAGGAGGCTGAGACGGAGTCACAGAACAGCGAGCAGTCAGGCATCACTGCAGGCGAGTCCTTGGACCAGAGTGTAGAGGAGGAGGAGGAAGAGGACACAGATGATGATGACCACCTGATACACCTTGAGGAGATCCTGGTGCGTGTTCACACTGATTATTACACAAAATATGATAGATACCTCAACAAGGAGCTTGAAGAAGCCCCAGATATACGGAAGATAGTTCCTGAACTGAAGAGTAAGGTGCTAGCAGATGTGACTTTGATATTCAGTGGCCTACACCCAACGAACTTCCCAGTAGAGAAGACTCGGGAGCATTACCATGCCACAGCCCTAGGTGCCAAGGTCCTGACACAGCTGGTATTGAGCCCTGATGCCCCTGACAGGGCCACCCATCTGATCGCAGCACGGGCCGGTAAGCAACCCCTCTTGTGCCTCTGTAGACAGGAGCACAGGTAACTGGCAGCACTCCCAGGGGACACAGGTCTCCATTAGTTTACTGGTGGTTTCTGTCCTTGAGACTAGAACCATGACCTTTTAAGAACAGATTGATGAATATCTCTCGGTGGAATTCTTGGTCTATATGTGTTACATATGCCTCGTGTGCTCAGTGAGAGTGTGCATAGGTTCACTTCCACTTGCTGTCTGGATTAGAGCCTTTTCCAGGTGTGTCAGGTGAACTGGGAGGCTCAGTGTGAGACTAGAGAAATTGAGATCAAAGAGTGGTTAGGGCTTCAGTTTGGCAGGTAAAAGTTGGGCTAACCTGAGTTAGAAAACCAAATGCAGTATTTTAACTAGAGTAAAAAAATAATTTACTATAAATGGAAAAGCAGAGGTTATAGTCTGTCACCTCCTTTCAATATAATCCTCCTCAGTGCATGCCTTCTCTGTTATTTATAGAATAAAACAAACCTTTACTAATTCTCTTGGTCACTAAAAAAAAATTCATTGCTTTTAAAAGTGCTGCTCATAAGCAAATTTGATTTTTCTCAGATCAAGATACCCTACCCACTTGAGATTCTCTTTGTTCTGTTATTTCTCCCATGATTACAGTCAGTAAGTTAAGGCTTCTGAATACTGGCCTTGACCTCCAGGGTCAGGGTAATCTAATCTCCTGCCCAGTCTCAGTGAGGGCCAGTGTGGTCTTTGTTGACTCTGGTTCCAGTCTGTGTCACGTGCTCAGTAAAGCATTTGAATAATGGTCAGTGGAAGGTACCCATCTCATGGGGCAGTCAAGGTCAGAGGCAGGCTCTTTGGGCCCAGCCAAATTTTCTGTCTCAGAAGAAAATCCAATCTTCAGGTCCCTGTAGAGGCCATGAGGTATTTACTCCTCTGAGCGTGGAGACAGTGCAGGTCAGATACCTCTTTGAGATACTTTTATGTATACCTCTGCAATCCAGCAGCTCCCTAGCACTGACCCTCATCTCACCTTGGCTAGTCCTAAGACTTGTGGACACCTGGTTGATGACAAGGATGAGAATTTCTATCATTTCTTTTTTTGTGTGTGTTCATGTTCTCACACGAGGTAGCTAGGACATACTGTCACACTGTGGTGGGATTTTTGCCTCTGGAAGAAAATGAGTCTCCCAAAGATTTAGCTGACCAGGGTCATGACTGACCATGTTTCAGGGATCACTGTGAAAGGTACAGGGTGTATAGTCTAAGACCTGGGAATAGGGCAGGATTAGCTGGAGCCTAAACAGAGAGTCATCAGAAGGAGGTAGGTGGAAAAGAGCTCTCCAGGGGACAAGGAGTTAGAGAAAGCAGCAACTCAGGGCCCTGAGGGCAGAAAAGGCAGAAGGTGGAACTGCTGAGGGGTGGAGGACAAGGCAGAAAACCCACAGGTCCTGCCGTACAGTGAGGCTAGAGAAAGGCATGGCTAAGTCAACTGGGAAGAATTGACAGGACCTGTGAGGTATCCAGTGACAGAGTAGCTTGGGATCCAGGTGAGAGACAGCCCTGGCGGGTAGGGTTTGGGTGGTATCTACAGGGAAAATTCAAAATATTGGCAATGATACAGAAATCACACTGGTGGGGGTGGGGCCAGAAGATGGCAGTTAAAGTAGCTGCGCTCCGGGAGCCTGGCCTCCTGCCTCTGTGCTAGCCTGGGGGAGCGTGTGGCCCTGCATGCAGCTTGCTGCAACCCCCTCCCAAGGGGATATCTGCCCTGGTCTGTGCTCTAGGCGCTCCCTCTCCTGGGCAGGATGGTCTGACATGTGGTCTCTGCAGGCACAGAGAAGGTGCGCCAGGCGCAGGAGTGCAAGCATCTGCATGTAGTCAGCCCTGACTGGCTGTGGAGCTGCCTTGAGCGCTGGGACAAGGTGGAGGAACAGCTCTTCCCCCTCATAGACGACGACTCTCGGCCACACAGGTAGGTGCCTCTGCCCTTGCATCCGTGCTGTGTGGTCCTCGTGCATGCTGTGGTGTCCCCTTTAGAGGGCTCCAGCTCCCCAAGCATCCCTGGTATAAGTGGGCATCTGGTCAGGATAAGGGATCTTCTGGAACCCTGATCACAGTCTACGTGGCTCTACTTCATCTCGAGAGCCATGCTCTGCGGGAGGGAAAGTGAGTCTGAGCTCGGGATGTCTGCACAGGATCCACAGCACACAGCTCAAGGCTGCAGCAATTGTGCAGACAGGGCACAGCCTATGCACCCTGCTCTTTCCTCTGTACCTCAGCACAGTGACCCTGTGACTCCCTTGTGAACTCAGAGAAGATGGGAAGACTTTTTTTATTTCAACAAAATGCAGTATGGCTTTCAGTAGTGAATCTTATTTTGCATGTTTTTTTCAGGATGGGGGGAGTATTAGGACAAAGAGAGGTAATTAGAGGTCTTAGAATAAAGAGAAAGGATGGTAGGCTGGAAGCTGTGGGGCAAATGTGCAAAATTATGTACTCAAAGGAAGCGGTATTGGGAAAAAATGAAAATTCCTATCTTTTATTTACTGATAGACGTATGTTGAGAAAGTAGATAGTGTAAAAATACTTATGTCTTTTAAGAAAAGCTCTGATCTTTGTCAGCAGTCTGGCTGTTGTATTAGGGTTAGGCTCAGATAGATATTGGAGCAACTGATGATAGAAGAATACTCATCCAGCAAAGGCAAGTTCCTCAGCGCAGTGGAAGCTGGTTCCCAAGGAGGTCCGACTGCACAGCAGGCTTGGTGGGTGCTAATGATTGAAAAACCACAGTGTGCACCATTGTGTTACTGTGTACATTGTTGTGTCCTGGTGTTTGGAAGTGCATATGTTCTATCTGAGCAGCTCAGTCAGGAACTGAGGGAGCTTTTGACCAGTGTACTTGGGCAATGACAGTCACTGTTTGTCCCGGAGCACACCCTCCCATCTTTGCCCTGGTGTTCCTGCATTCCTGTATCCATATCCTCCTACATCTCTGTCCCCCATATTCCTCAATGGTCTTGTCCCCACATCCCATATTGGTACCAGTGCTATTCTCATAGCTCTTACTTTCTCCATCCAACAGGGAGAACAGCCCAGCAACTTTTCCTGACAGGCAGAGTGTGATTCCAGCAACCCTGTTCCACCCAATGCCCATCCATCCCAAGGTCCAGCCTGGTCCTGAGGTCCGAATCTACGATTCCTACACTGGGAAGCTCATCAGAATGGGTGCACAGGGCCCTGTGCAGGGGCCCCCCAGTCTGCCCATCCACAGAGAGCCCACCTCCTTCAGGTACATTGTGGCACCTGAGAGCTTCCTTTGCAGGCAAGAACCGGCATCTGAAGACTTTCAGTTTTAAGTTGTCTCAGCCTGTTTAGGTGATCATTTTAAGTCCCTGCAGTGGGAATGTAACATTGAAAGCTCTAGTTAGTCTTAGATTTGAAACATTGAGCACCCAGGCTGAGATAGTGACTCCCAGTTTGTAGACCAAACCCTCCCCCCCCCGCCCCACTCTGATTCTCTTGTTTATTCTATGTTGTGTTGGATTCCAAAACTAAAAGCAGAGGAACCATTGGTTTATTTGGTGGCACATCATGCACAAAGCCCTCAACTCCTCCAGGTGCCATCAGGGTGGTCCAGAGAGAGAACATTCTAGGTGTCCAGCAGAGGACAAGTCCTGTAGGGCTGACCCTGACCCTCCCTGCCATGCCAACCGGTGTAGGCATGATGCCCTGGGTCATCTTGCTGTGTTTCTGCACGTTAAGAGAAACTTGGGAGGTATGCACTGATGCTTTTGTTGGTGATAAGGGGTGTATCGGATGAAAGACATGACAGGATCAGAAGGCATTTGGTGGCAGGATCAGTGCTGCCCTACAAAAGAGGGATCCTTCCTAAACAGCCATGTGTGTGCCCTCCCTGCTACCTTTGCATGAGGTCGAGTTAGCACTTACCTGAGGCAAAGCCTTGCTTACTACCTCATGCATAGCCAAAGGACAGCATGTAGATTTCGTGCAGTGGGTATTGTAACAGTTGGCTCATGGTCACCTGTCCATTGCCTTTTTCCTTTCTGAGAGTACCCATGCCTTCTGGGAGCCGCCCACACATAGCCACCCAGAGGTTGAAGTGGCATTAGCTCTGTCCTGGGCTGCAGGTGGACCCTGGCACATTTCCCAATGTTTTTAGGGCTAGATAAGAACTCAGACCCGTGCCCATACTCTCTGGCCTTTGTGACACTGCACAGGCAATGTAAGTCAGTGTCAGCATGAACAGAATGGTTCAGGACTCGGGGAGAGTAGCTTCTCCCTCCCTCTAGACAGGGACACAACCTTGGCCAACACCAGAATGCAGCTGTTGTTATGTGATTTCAAACCACAAGTATCATCATCACTTCTGTTTTCTTCCAATAATGTATCGGTTAGTTATTTATGTATTTGAATTTTGACTGTGTGCTGCTCTCATATTCCTATGGCATGACTTTCCTGAAGTGGGATTGCTGAGGGAAAAGTCATGTACATTTTCAACTTTAATAGATGGTACTAGAATTTTGCCAGAAATGGTTTGCAGTTCACCTTGCCACCAGTAGGAGAGAACTTCTGTGTTCTGGAGAAATGTGTGGGCGGGCCGGGGGCAGAGCGTGCTTCTTCAGTGCTGTATATCTTGCCAAGCTAATAATAATAAAGAGGCTCGCAGACCAGCCTCTGTGGATGGGGGTTAATTACTTGGGTTGTACGTTAGTGAGTGGCCTTTGTATGTTTAACTTGTGCTTCTTTGTTTATGAATTTTTGTGCCCTGCCCCTTCTGCGAAAGTTTACTGTACATTAAAGTGTTCTAAAAATACTAACAACTATAGAAGAGGGATGCTTTAGCAGTTCTGTTCAACTGTACTGCTAATTCTGTTTTGAGTAATATGGAAAGTTAAGTATTTTTCTTTGTTAATGTCTTTTGTACAAAGGTTTTAAGTAATATTCATCAAATTGTGTATAGATGTACAGTAAAAATTTCCTTGAAATATTTTTCTAAATAAATTCCCCCCACGGGGTACTATAAATTAAATGAAGCTAGAGATAAATTTTACATATTTTAAAAATGTAACTGTATAGCACAAGTACAGAGTAAACCTTCTGACAGTTTTCTATCAGAGCCACAGCCAAGCTACATGCTGTTCAAGGTCTAGTCCTGTTGTACCGTTGCTTAAGACTTGAGTATAGGGGTTGGGGATTTAGCTCAGTGGCATAAGTGCCTGCCTTGCAACAGGCAGTCATGAGTTCAATCCCTGGTACCAGTAAAAATGAAAAAGACAAAAAAAAAAAAAAAAAAAAAAAAAAAAGACTTGAGTATATGGCTGAGAAGGTAGTCAGTGGTAGAGCACTTACCTAGCATTTACAAGGCCCTGGATTTGACCTAGTATTGCAAAAAGAATGAAATGTGTGATTTTCCATTTGTTCAAATGAGACTGTGCTTCATCACCATGTAGTTCTGTATTATAAGCATTTATTTTTATCAACATATCTTTTAATATGGTGAGCTTGTCCTCATTTCTGAGGTGTCCTGAGTATACGAGAAAACAGAGTGAACGCAAGTTGACTGGGAGGGGTATGAGGGTCGTGTGCTGCCATGTGAGCTCTGCTTCTAGCAAGATTGAGGCCGAAGAGCTGTCTTGATGTCGTGCATAACACTATACAATTTGAAAATTATCTTCTCAAATCAGGCAGTTGCAGGGACTCTTCTTCACCACGTGGTGAAGTGATGTTTTGCTGCAACCCAGTGCAGTTCCTTAGGCCCTTGGGGTTAAGGACCTCGAGAGAACGAGATGAATAACACAGAGACAAAGCTGGGGTCAGGTGGAGCCTTCTCCTCCCGATGGGAGGGAAGGAACTGCTCAACCACTGCAGCACCTTCATTTATACACTGGGAAAGATGATGTCAGTGTCAGCCCCTCTGCCTGTTGCTTGGCAGGCCTGGCCCCTTGCCTTCTTGATGCTGGAACAACTTCTTTACATAGCTTGTTTTGTTCTCTCTGTTTTATCTGGGCTGGCCTTACTTTAGCCCCACACATGTGATCAATCTCCAGCTTCAGCGGCTCCCTAAAATGTTGTATCTGCCTTCCGCTTTTCTACTATGGCATAGCAAATATCTGACAAATACATCAACACAAGAAATAACTCACTGTGGGATGGACACAGGTGATACTCTGGACAAATGGTCATCTCCATGTGTGTTTTCATGAGGTGCAAGATTGGGCCTTGGAGGACTGGATAGGATTAGCAGATTTTAAACAAACTTCTGGCCACACATGATAGCAGACACCACCTGTGAAAACAGAGGTAAACCCACATAGTATCAAGCAACTAAGAAATAGGCAGGCTTGAGTCTGCACTTGAACTTCACGTGTGATACAGGACCCCCTGAGTGAGGATACTGAGCGGTTTTTCTCTGGTGAACCAGCTAATGGCAGAATGTAAGGCCTTACCAGATATGTGGCAGGTGAGTAGATGCTCACAGGAAAGGAGACTCTTATACCTGTGAACATAAAAGTATTCTGCACGTAGGAGTCAGGAAGATATGATGAATGCAGTCCATGTATTTCACATAGTAAGTTGACCAACTGTTAAAAGTGATCATTCCAAAAACAACCCTTAATTCAAAGAATGAAGTCCCCTCATGTTTTGCTTAAGGATGCATAAACAGGTTCAATATTTTGGAGAAGTTCTGTCAGTGTTTACTGAGATGCATACCCTTTGAGCTACGATCTCACTGTAGGAATGTGTGCCCTAGAAATGAGTATGCTAGCCTAAGATTCTCTGCCTGTGGCTCCTTTGGGGTGCTGCTGATGAAGCAGCTTTTACTATCCTGCTGAAGATAACTCAGCCACAGCTTTGTGAAGACATCAAAAAGTGACCCCCACAGCCCACATCTGTCCTGGTCCTGTCTCTGGGGCATCCTTAGCTGTGACTGAGTGACAGTAGACGATGTTTGTTTCTGAGCTCAGGAGACCTGCAGGGAGTTGAAGCTGCTAGAGTAACTGGAATTGAGGAAAGAAGAAAAATCCAGGAGAGGAGACAGGAAGGAATCCAGTGACCCTTAGGCTCACTTGTGGCTCTTAGGCTGTCCATGTTTCAAGATGGGAGAGCCTCAGCCAAAAACAGCAACAGTAGGGCTGAGTGCCTTCAGAATATTCATGGTGAACGGTTCAGGGAGGGAGAAAGGTGCATAAAATTGGAAAGAAGATGAAAAATTCAAAACAACACAGGAAAATCTCAGAAGTGCACGGACTTGGGATGTGCCTCTGTGTCGTGCTTTGAACCTACTAAAACCTCTCTGGGTTTTATGGAGGCTCATTACTGAATTATTGGTCATCATATACTGGCTCAATCCCTAGCCACCCTCTTTCTTGGAGGTCAGGGGCTAAGCTGAGCAGGTGATTCCAGTCCTCTTTCTAGGCCTTGGTCTTGCTGGTCATCAGCTTCATTCTAGAGCTGTCTCTTCATACACAGGTTAGGAATTCCAGGGTGTTATAATCATAGACTGAGACCAAGGATCTGCAGATGATACCTCAGAATTTAACCCTCAGGCATTAATGTCTGAGTAGTCAAAGGGTTCTGTTTTCTCTTGTAGGCCATATTCTGCAGTATTTCATAACCTCACTAGTTGAAACATGAGAGAAAAAATAGAAGGTTGAAGGAGTCCTTCTAAACTTGTTTTTAAATTGCAGTTTTATAGTAATGTACAGAATTTAAAGCAACCATAAAAATTAGCATATGCTGATGTGTACATGAGCAATACCTGTTTAGAGTATGCTGTTCTCTGTATTGAAAACAAAATCACAAATTTTTACTTACCTTTCCTTAAACATAAAAATAAAAAAGCATGTTGCCTTAAACTGTATGGAGCGGTTAAAGATGAGGTTCAAAATTGCTTTTTTAGTTATTCAGCCTTGCTTGAAGTGTGTGCCAATAGACCAGGAATTTCTAAGGTAAGTGAAAAGTAGTAATTAATTGCTGTCTTGACAGTTTGCTCATGGTAAGCTGAGCGTGAAGGAAGTTGAGCACTTCCTCTCCCCTTCGAGAGCTAATAGTATGGCAGCGCACAGCCACGTTTGTTCCTGTATGCAGACACTGCAGCTCTTCTGTGACTGCGGAGTCAATGCCATGCAGGCCGTCCTGAGGAGGCTGCTGCAGCTGCACCTCATCCAGAGAGGGTGACTCTTGATAATGTATCCTTGTGGATCTGGAAGTGTGATTTGTACCAAGATACTAATTTTCTTAGTTAGCCACCAGCCTGTATAATCATAT